CCTCCTCCTCCTCCTCCTTCCTCCTCCTACGCCTCCTCCTCCTCCTGCTCCTGCTCCTGCTCCTGCTCCTCCTGCTCCTGCTGCTGCTGCTCCTCCTCCTCTTCCTCCTTGTAGTAGTATCAGTATTATTCTTCGTCTTCTTCTTCTTCTTCTTATTATTATGTTTCTTTTTTCTTATGATTAGTATTTTCACCACTGCTACTATTATTATTAATACTACTATTCTTAGTATTATTATTAGTATCATTATCATTTTTAATTGTGTATGTACATATGTATGTATTTATTTATTTATTTATTTAGTTATTTATCTTTATTGATTTATTTATGCATTTATGTATTTATTTATTTATTTATTTATTTATTTATTTTTATCATTACTCGTATCATGCTCATCGTTATTAATATTGTTATTATTCTTGTTATTATTCTTATCATGATTACTAGTATTATTAACATTCATAACTGGTATTCGTATTACTCTTGCTATTGTTATTATCCGTCTTCGGATTCTGACTATCATTAGTATTACTATTCTGTTTATTCTTCTTATGTTTCTTCATCTTCTTATGCTTCTTCTTCGTATTATTCTTCTTCGTCTTCCTCCACCTCCTCCTCTTCCTCCTCCTCCTCCTCCTCCTCATATTCCTATTCCTCCTCCTCATCCTCCTCCTTCTCCTCCTCCTCCTCTTCTTCTTCGTCTTCCTCCTCCTCCTCCTACTCCTCCCTCCCTCCCTCCCTCCCTCCTTCCCTCCCTTCCCTCTCCTTCCTCTCTCCTCAATCCGCCTCCACCTCCCCCTCCTCTCTCCTCCTCCCCTCCTTTCTCTCTCCGCCTCCGCCTCCGCCTCCGCCTCCGCCTCCGCCTCCGCCTCCGCGCCTCGCCTCCGCGCCTCCGCCTCCGCCTCCTCCGCCTCCTCCGCCTCTCCGCCTCCACCTCCTCCTCCTACTCTTCTCCTCCTCCACCTCCTCCTCCTCTCCTCCTCCTCTCCCCCCTCCTCCTCCCCCTCCTCCCCCTCCTCCCCCTCCTCCCCCTCCCCTCCCCCTCCGCCTCCGCCTCCGCCTCCGCCTCCGCCTCCGCACTCGCCGCCTCCGCCTCCTCCTCCTCCTCCTCCGCCTCGCCTCCTCCTCTCCTCCCCTCCCCCTCCCCCTCCCCCTCCTCCTCCTCCTCCTCCTCCTCCTCCTCCTCCTCCGCCTCCTCCTCCAAGGCCGCCAAGAAAAAATCAGCATCGCGAAGGATCAGTACAGTCGGACCGAGGTCGAAGATCGAGGTCGGTTCGGGGCGGGTGCCCTCAATGTTCTTCGTGTCCGTCGGATGCTCTTGCGCATCATGCGGAGGGTACCCCTGGACGTTCTGAGCGTTTTTGGCCGGCGGAGGGTCCCATGCTCCTGAATGAAGTGCTTCTGTCCTAGATCCGACCGTACCAGGATGGGGGCAACGACAGGGGTCGGCGGCGAGCCCGGGGGGAGGTGACAGGTAGGGCGACGACATCTATACAGTGCCCACATCCACCGCCGATGATGGCCGGTGTATACGCCCCCAGGCTTGGCCAGGTAGGCATGTACACCGCTTGTGGGCCCAGGAAGGGCCTGGCCAGCGGCGGTGGATACGTACAGACCTCTTCGCCCTTGAGAGGGGGCAGGCCTTCTCAGAAGGCGGCGGGGCTTCTCTCGGAAGCCCCCGCGCCTTTGAGACGCCGTCCCCGTTTTCGGAGAAGGCCCAGAAAACTTCTCGTAATGTGGCAGGGGTTTCTCAAAACCCCCCAGAACCCCCCCCACCCTTTGAGAAGTTTGCGGGGCCTTCTCTGAAGCCAGACACGGCTCCTCAGAAGGCAGGAAGGCTTCTGACGAGCCCCGCCGCCTTGTGGGGAAGGCCTGCCCCCTGTCACTTCCCCTCCGTGCCTCGCCGCCGAAAGGGGGGCAGGCTCAGGGGTTCGAGGTTTGGGGTATCGAGGCTCGCTTCCTGGATGTTTTTGATCGTCCTAGGGCGCCATCGTGGCCACGTCTGGAGCCGTCTCGAGATTCCATTCCGAATTTCGGCATGAATCGGAGAGGCTCACACCCTCCCAGACGAGCGAGCAGTTTCAGACCCCCCCAGACCAGCCATGAAAGGGCGGACTTTTGCCCAGACCCCCCGAACCCTCCAAGACAGCTCAAAACAGACCCCCCCCAAAGTGACCGCCCCCCGTATCATGGAGCCCAGGGTGTTTTGGAACCCAGAGTATTCAGAACGCACCCCAGGAGAGGCCCAGGGATCGATTTCTGACCACGCATCTGGGGTCACCGATGCGAGGCGGGGATGTGTGGGAGCCTTGCGTGCCCTCGCAATTCCGTCTGTAGGGTGCGCTGGCGTGCGCCAGCGTCTGGTCGTCCATGAGAGAGCGCCGACTTGGTGTCGATGAGTGCCGAGTAAGCGTCGATGAGCGTCGGCTCGCGTCGGTTCGCAAGAGCCAGCAAGATGAGTCTGGAGCCTCCCATGAGTTGCCACAGAGCCAGGAACAGGGACAATCATCGATCCGGGGCGTGGATCAATCCATGATTACCGCTTCGGGGATCGATCTTCGGGGACGTCGACAGGCGGTCGATATGCATAGATTTGGCCCCCCTCGGGCCAACATGTATCCATATCCACCGCCCGCTGGGGTCCCAGGACGTCGGTTCCCTAGGCGGTGGATGTGAATATCTCCCTGCTTGTAAACGACAGGGGGGGTCGAGGTTGCCTGCGTGGCTCTTAAGATCATCCTAGCGTAGCCGGTCCGGTTCGATTTCGGCTCTGTGCCGATGCAGCGCGATCCGATGCACATGTCGATTCGATCCGATCTACCGATCCGATGCTGACTGATCATGGCTCAGGGGCAACGTCAGGCGGGATCTGCTCAGGGCCAACGACAGGGGGGACGTTCGAGGTCGGAGCTTCGAGGTTTTCTAGCGTTTTCGTGGGTTCCTGGCGTTTTTTCCGGCCTCGGGGTGCCTTCCAGCGGCCGCGCATCGCCGAGGGCGCTCCAAAGGGGGTGCCCGAGAGGTCCTCCTGGCACGGCCGGCTGAGGCCATAGTATTAGGTGAGGCGCAAGCCACCAGGCGTCGAAGAGGTCGGGGCCGACGTTAGGCGTCGGGGGGAGAGAATATGCCCAGACCCCTTTTCCCTCGAGAAAGGAGAAAATTATCGCAGTGCGACCCTACCTAGGAGTTGGAGCATCTAGGAAACAACATCTACATCTACACCGACAGCTACATTAGCATCTACACCTGCATCTATATCTACATCAACATCAACAGCGAGACTCACATCCACATCTACATCTTCACCTACATCTACACCTACACATACATCTACATCTACACCTACACCTACATCTACATCTACATGTACACTTTCGCATTGGTTTTGTTTTTGCTTTGCTTTGCCTTTCCTTTGCTTTGCTTTTGCTTTTGCTTTGCTTTGCTTTGCGTTGCTTGTGCTTTGCTTTGCTGTCGCCGCTGTTGCTTTGCCTTTGCTTTGCTGCTCTGCTATGCTCTGCTATGCTCATGTTATGCTATGCTACGCTGCGCTGTGCTATGCTGTGCTGTGCTGTGCTGCGCTATGCTATGCTATGCTATGCTGCGCTATGCTATGCTATGCTGGGCTATGCTATGATATGCTGTGCTGCGCTATGCTATGCTACGCTATGCTATGCTATGCTGTGCTCTGCTATGCTAAAGCTCAGCGAAGCTAATGTTAAGGTAAGCTAAGCTGAACAAAATCTGAGCTACTATGAAACTAAGCTAAGCTAAGATGAAACAAGCTAAGCTAAGATGAGATAAACAACGCTAAGCTTTGGGGACGTAACTGGGGGAACCGCGGGGCGGATACCGGGGAAACCGCCCGGGGCGAGCCCCACTGCCCGGCCCCTTTAAGAAAGAGAGTAAGAACCCTTCTAGGCAGAGCCTAGGTAGGGAATCACGACGGAAGGAGGAGGAGGAGGAGGAGGAGGAGGAGGAGGAGGAGGAGGAGGAGGAGGAGGAGGAGGAGGAGGGTTTTCGTAATTTTCTGATTTTTGGTGGCACTTAGCGGGCCTCGGGGCCGTCAAGGAGGGTCGAGACATCTGGGAGTCGACGTTACGAAAAAATCATGATTTCGGGGGTTCTGAGTAGGCTCAGTGGGGAAACATCCACCCCCCAACGCCCGTGTATCGCCAACGCGGACCCTGTAGCCCACCCCGCCCAGGAGCGTCCGGGTTTGTCAGCGAGGGCCTCTCGCCGATCTGTCGGCGACGCACATCGCCGATTCCATGTGAATGCCCCTCCCCGGGGTCTAGTTCCCCCTTGCATTAAGTCGGGCATGTCCCTCTACAGGAGGAGTCTGCAAAAATTGTCAAAAAGTAGTCCGGGAACGATTTTTCTAGAATTTTGATAATTCTTGAATTTTCGGACTATTTTTGATCCTTCGTCCAAAATCTGCCTGCAGGACATGCCCGACCGAACCCCTGCAGGAGCCGACCGGCAGGCTGAGCGAGCTGAGGCTGCGCATGACTGGCGCCGAGTTCTGCGCGAGCTACCCGGTGGCCGAGGTGTCGGGGTGCGACTCCCGGGCCCCCGGCGCGTGCGGGCAGCGGCTTCTCCAGCCGGGCCACGGCCAGGCCGGCACCTTCGAGCTCAAGTCGGAGATGACGGCGGCCACCGTGCTCGCGAACTGGACGGAGCTCCAGGAGGGGAGGGCGCGACACAGACGAGCAGGCGCTCGGAGCTCCGCGCGGATCTCTCGGCGGTCGGCGCCGGGTCCCCCCGGCGGTGCCCGCGGCGACGGGGAGTCCAGCGCCGATCCAGGGAATCCGCGCGGAGGCCCGGGAGTTTCTATGCTTCTGCTTTCTTTTCTTCTCGTCCATGAGCAGGGGGCGCCGACGTCGACCCTGTCCTCGGTCGTGATCTACGTGCGCAGGTTCGACCTGGACGGGCCCTACCTGCCCTACGCCTGCCACCACCAGGAGGGCATCCTCGTGGCGTGAGGCAGCGCATGCGCGCGCGCGCCCGCCCAGATGCGAAGCGCCGCGCAGCGGTGTCACAGAGTGCCGGTGGTGCACATGTTCATAGCGCGTCTGCGTGGCGCCCTGCCTGGCGGAGCATCCTCCTCCCTTCGAAGAGGAGAGCATGCCGTGAACATGAAAGCCAGAGGTCTGCGCGGAGCTCAGAAAGCTGATCCACGGCCTCGCGGTCTGTTCTCTCTGGTCGGGACCGCATGGATACAGGGCGGTCATTGCGCGGATGCCCCGCGCGGAACGTATCCATGGGAGCGCGTAGCCATAGGAGCGCGCCTCGGACTGCAGACCGCGAGGGCACTGATGTGGATGTGTTCGTCGCTCGTGTCTCTCCCTCGTGCGCGCTCCGCTTCGGCCACCTCCGCCCGTTCTCGCACGTCTGCCTTCTGTCTGCACTCGGTTTTCAAGTGTGCGCTTCCTGTAGTGAGAGGGAGGGCTTGTTGCGAGGTGTGAGGAGGGGATTTGGGAAGGGAGGGTACATGGAAGCATCGTTGATGCACTCGGTCTTTTCCTGGTCAGATGAGACAGACCACCCTCCCCTTCAGGAGGGCCTTCTCGTCCCACTGCTCGCCCCACTGGCGTTGCGGACAAGAACATGGCCTTCTCCTTCTTTCCACCTTCTCTCTCTCTCTGTCATGGCGCCAACATCGCAGAGCGGAGTTCGTTCGGAAAACAATAAGATTGGCCCGGAGTGTCTTGGATAATTTCGTTCCGGATTTCCAAGTGAATTTCGTGCGGATTTTTTTCCCAGGAATGAAGGCTAATCAAACATCCACGTGAAATTCACTTCGTTTTTCGCTCGCCGTTTCGGGGTTTTGCATTGACAGAAATCCACGCCAAAACCCGCTGCAGCACGTCTGCAAGGTCGATTCAGTGATCTCTGTCTCTCTCTCTCTCTCTCTCTCTCCCTCTCTCTCTCTCTCTCCCCCGCATTGCTCCCCTCCCCCTCCCCCTCCTCCCCCCCGCGCGCCCTGGAAGGCCTCCTTCTCCTTGGTCGGTCGGTCGACCAGGGCAGCGCCTGGAAGTCCATCTCACGTGTGAGAGACGTGATCCCCGCCTCCTCCTCCTCCTCCTCCTCCTCCTCCTCGTCTTCCTCTCCTCCTGTCTTTCTCCTCCTGTCTTCTTCCTCCTCCTCCTCCTTCTCGCTCTTCCTCCTCCTCCTCCTCCTCCCCCTCCTCCTTTTTTGACGTTGATCGGACTTCGAGCACGGGGCTCGCAGCGTTCTGAAGTGGTGGAACAGGAACAGACTCAGCGCAGCGGTGTGAGCAAATTCGGCGGCAGGCCCGTGCGGACCAGGAACTATCAAGGGTGCCAGAGCAACGATACCTGCCGCCGATGCTCGTGGGCGGCCAAGAGGGGGGTGATGACTAGGGGGGGTGGATATCATGGCGGGGGTGGATATCATGGCGGGTGGATATCATGGCGGTGGGCCCTAGAGAATAGGAGGATCGGAAATGGTGAATACATGCTTTTTGAACTGTGATGCATGTATGGTGAGAAATCATGAAATACTGTTCGGGGCCGTCGGCTATGGAGTGGGGGGTGCTCTAAAATAGCACGCCAGATTTAAACGCACGGGGAACACCTAGGCCAGATCATATTCCCAGAGGGTCCGTCGCATTAGAATACCTCTGCCTCCCACCGGTGGTGCCTTAGAAACCCTCGTTCTCCACCCCCTCTCCATCCTCCTCGCCCCCGTCATCCGCCTTCTCCTCTATCTCTTATTTCTTCGCTGTAGTCGTTGTCGTCAGTAGCCGTGACGGCTTAGTTAATCTCCTCCTCTGACCGTACAGCCGTTGTTTTCGGATGTGCGTGCAGACATGTCTGGGTTTGACGAACGGCTCGCTCGGATAATCGGAATTGAAGGCGGTGCCCGTGCTCCAGCAGCACAGGCGAGGAGACGGGCCCACATGACGAGACCAGCTGCAGCCCAGATGAGACGACCAGCAGCGTCGAGCGGCGCAGAGGCCGCCGCCCCATCTGAGAGTGCCAACGAACAGCGTCGTAGCCAGGGGTCTGCTCTGCCACGAGCGAGCAGATCCCTCATGGTTCGCACCCTTTGGTCACGTTTCCTGAACGAGCCATTGCGTACGTCAGTTGCCATTGGAACGATGACTTTGGAGAAGATCGTAGCCCTTGCAAGCATAACATTCGATGTATGCCACAAGCATTTCATCATGCCAGATACGGCGCTGACTGAGGTGACGGGCCTGCAACGCACGGATGTTCGCAAGCAGAGTGGTCGATTGACGGAGCTGGCGCTACAAATGTCCCAGATTGATCGAAGGAACTGGAGTATGCAATCCACGAGGGCCCACACTTAGAGACCATGCACACTGTTGACGGTGAAATGAGCGACGAACCACCACTTCCCATGATAACCCGAGACCTTAGTCAGATCGATGAGTTCCCTACTCACAAAGAGTACCTTGGATGGGCTTAACCAGCTTCGGGGACTCAAACAGATGCTGTTGCCAGGCACTCTCTTCCGCCTTCCCTCAAACTTCTTTGCAAGCAGGAGACATCAATGGGCAAGTGTTCGATATTCAGAGTGAGTGGGCGATCCTTGCAAGAAACAGCCAAACGTGTGACATGTTCCCAATTTGTGGTGCAGACGTGCAAATTCTTTCAGCCTTGGACTCGTGCATAGCAGATAATATGAGGCACGTGTCCCGCAACAGTTGGTGTAGGAGTGTTGTGTAGAATTGTGGGCACCAGAAAGCTCGGGTCACGTGCCTCGGCAGACTAAGACACACATTCTGAATCGTACTCCTAAGAAGAATCATGACATCATAATAATAAGAAGAAACTGAAGAATAATAAGGATAATGCGAATACTATTAATAATACGAGTACTAAGACGAATACTACTAATAAACATAACAGTGATCAGACTTTTATTTATATTAGTACGAATGCGAATCACAATAAGACGAATAATGATAATAATAAGCAGGAGAAGAGGAGGACGAGGAGGAAGAGGAGGAGGAGGAAGAGGAGGAGGAGGAAGAGGAGGAGGAGGAGGAGGAGGAGGAGGAGGAGGAGGAGGAAGAGGAGGGCGTGCTCGGGCCGCCTCGGCCCCCCGCGTCGGCCCAGGCCCCTCCCCCGGCGCGGGCCCCCTGCGCAGCCCTGGCCCCCCATGGACTGGCTCGGGCCCCAGGACGGGCCCCTGCACGCTGCAGACAGGACCTCCGCAGGGCGGCCCGCGCGAGCTCTCCGGCGAGACGATATCTGCAGCCAGCGCCTTTTCCATGATCGCGGCCTTTTGGGGGCCCTTTTGCAGGCTCTGGCGGCCGTGAGACGTGGGTCGGGGGCGGAACATGTTTTCCGACGGTACGACCCCACACGAGAATCTGTTTTGGTGCATCTGTGCACGAGACAATCGACGGCCGACGGCAGATATGCTGCTAGGATGCCAGGGTGCTAGGAGGCTAGGATACCAGGACGCCCGGACGCCAGGACACTACGATGTATACCAGGAGTTGAGTTCCGTGGGCACGAAGAGCCCGAAGTGGCTTACAGTCTGTTCTGGACATTCAAACTCATTCCCAATAGTGAAGTTCTGGGTGTACGAAGAGTCCGAGGTGGCTTTTAGGTGGCACCAGATAATCAAAATTAGTCCTAGGAGTGGAGTTCCTGGGGCACCAAGAGCTGGACGTGGCTTAGAGAACCCAGACACGCCAAAGCTGTTCCGGGAATGGAGTCCTGAGGGCACGAAGAGCCCGAAGTGCCTTACAGTTTGTTCTGGACATAATCATTCACGGTAATGGTGGTGCACGAAGAGCTCGAGGTGGCTTACAGGTGGCACCAGACATTCAAAATCAGTCCCAGGAATGGAGTTCTTGGGGCACAATGAGCCCGAAGTGGCTTAGAGAATCCAGACACGCCAAAACGGTTCCGGGAATGGAGTCCTTGGAGCATGAAGAGCCCGTAGTGATTTACAGTTGGCTCTGGAAATCAGTCCAGGCATGGAGTTTTGGGTACGCGAAGAGCCCGAAGTTGCTTACAGTTGGCTCCGGACTCCCTCCGGACATAAAGATCAGCCCCAGGAATGGAGTTTTGAAAGCACGAAGAGCCCGAGGTGGTTTACAGTTGGCTCTGGATATGGAAAACAGCCCCAGGAATGGAGCTCTGGGAGCGCAAAGAGCCCGATCTGGCTTGCAGTTGGCTCGTGGTACACGGAATCACTACTGAGAGTGGAGCGCTGGCAATTCAATGGTAAAGACAACACGTGTTTTTTTTTGCATGGTCGCTTAGGATTACAGACGTCAAGTGCGGGCCCCAAGGGGGGGTGCTTCCGCCGGAGACTGCCTCGCGACTGGCTCACAATCGAGGCTCCTGCTCGGCACTTCCTCAATACGAGTGCGTGAGAGCATCAGTGTGTGTGTGTGTGTGTGTGCGTGTGTGTGTGAGTGTGAATGTGCGAGGTGGTAGGTACCGATGATGATGATGATGATGATGATGATGATGATGATGATGATGATGATGATGATGATGATGATGATGATGATGATGATGATGGTCATGATGATGATGATGATGATGATGATGATGAAGGTGATGATGATGCTGATGAGATGGTGATGCTTGTGATGATGAACATGATGATGATACTGATGATGATGATGATGACGATGCTGATGATGATGCTGATGCTGATTATCTTGATGCTGCTGATGGTTATGGTGATAATGGTGATGATGATGCTGATGATGACGATGATGATAATGCTGCTTGTGATGATGATGCTGCTGCTGATGGTGATTCTGATGGTGGTGGATGTGATGATGATTATGATGGTGGTGATGATGCTGATGATGTTGATGATGATGCTGATGATGCTGATGCTGATGATGACGCTGATGATGACGATGATGCTGCTGGTGATGATGCTGATGATGATGATGTTGATGCTGAGAATGATGATGATGATGATGATGATGATGATGATGCTGATGATGATGATGATGATGGTGATAATGGTGGTGCGGATTCTGATGACGAGGATGATGATGGTAGTGATGATGCTGCTGATGATTATGATGATGAGGATGATGATAAGGATGACGATGATGATGATGATGATGATGCTGATGATGATAATGATGACGATGACAATGACGATGACGACTGCGATGATGTTGATGATGATGAAGGTGATGGTGATGATGATGCTGATGCTGATTATGGTGATGATGAACATGATGATGATGATGATGATGATGATGATGATGATGATGATTTTGGTGGTGATGATGACGATGATGATGATGATGTATGATGATGATGATGATGATTATGATGATGATGCTGATGATGATGATGATGATGATGATGGTCATGATGCTGATGATGGTAGTGATGGTGGTGGTGGTGGTGATGATGATTATGATAGTGGTGATGATGCTGATGATGCTGATGATGCAGCTGATGATGGTGATGATGATGGTGGTGGTGGTGGTTGTTATGATGACGATGCAGCTGCTGCTGCTGCTGCTGCTGATGCTGATGCTGATGCTGATGCTGATGCTGATGCTGCACGGGGTGTCCAGTGATGACAAGTTGGGGACCCCATACGCGCCCATGCGGAGGGGCGCTGGTGGTGGTGGTGGTGGTGGTGGTGGTGGTGGTGGTGGTGGTGGTGGTGGTGGTGGTGGTGGTGGTGGTGTGTGTGTGTGTGTGTGTGTGTGTGTGTGTGTGTGTGTGCGAGCGTGTGTGTGTGTGTGTGTGTGTGTGTGTGTGTGTGCGTGCGTGTGTGTGTGTGTGTGCGTGTGAGACAGTGTTCCCGTCCTGTTCATGCGCGGGGGGGGCAGAGAAATCAAGAACCCCTCCTAGGATGAGGGGCATTATCCCCAGGGAAGCGGTCGGGACCTCTGGATCTGCGCATTGAACAAACATATCTGCGACTGTCAGGGTCCTCGGCCTATCCGATCCATCCACATCATCCTTGGCCTGTCCGATCCGATCCGATTCCGAGATTCCTCGCCATGAGGCAAGCGGGTCTTGAGGGAAACGGGTCCCGAGGTTTGCCGCAGTTTTCAGGTTTTCGGGGCCCTCCCCGGGTCCTGTCTGTCAAGAAAACGGCTCAGGATGAAGGATCGGTCCCTGGGGGAAGGCCCCAGTGTCCAGGATCAAGGACCCGGTTCCCCCAGGACCCGTTTGCTTCATGCCAGATTCCGACGCTCCGATGCGGCCCGATCTCACGTGGCCACTGGGCGCATCTTGGGCACAGCCGGTCCGATCCGCTTTCGGCTCCGTGCCGACGCAGCCTGGTCCGACGCCTGTTTCGATTCGATCCGATGTGCCGATCCGATGCGGATTGATCCTCGACGAACGAATCGCACACACGCCACCTATAATTACCCATAGGGTGGTCGGAGGGAGGAGGACTGGCTATGGGTATGGGTGCAGGTTGTCGGACCTTTACTACGGGAGGCTCCCGTTCGAGCGGGGATCCCCATCCGACAACCTGCGCTCATGGCTCTCTCCGCTCCCAGTCTGGGTATGGGTGTGTGTGTGTGTGTGTTGTTCGTGCGCCTTCGCCGCCGCTGGGCCCCCAGTATCTGCCCTACCCGCCGCTGACGCCGTGGTGGTGGTTGTCCTCGTCGTGTCCGTGTCCTTGTCCTCGTCGACGGCTGGGGATGTGCTTAGGTCTCCACGCGGGGCGTTTTCCGCCTCTGGGCCGCCTGCTCAGGGGCGCAGAGGTAACCCCGCCCAGCGCTCCGCGGTCCGAGTCAGAGGGTTGTCCCTCCCCAGACCCCCTCAGGTCATGAACAAAATCACAATGCGTGGTTTTTGGCAGTCTCTGGCCTCTGGGGGCCCTCGCCGGGCCTCGGGACCGTCAACAAAACGACTCGGTATGAAAAGCTGGTCTTGGGGAAGTAGTCGAGACCTTCAGGGGTCGACTTTCGTGATCTAGCAAAGGGGGGTTGCCCCAGTGTGTGTGAGAGAGAGAGGGAGTTCGATCGGTTTTTGCACCAAACCGCCCAAAACCGATGCCCCCCAGCCGCCGGCAGCTCTCGATGGTTGCCGATGGGTGGGGCGTGCGGGGGGGCACCTGTTTGCGGCAGCTCGGTGCACCAGCGGATCGAACTCATGCCCCCCCTCAGGGTCCCCCCCTTCGGTGGATCCCGAGAAGTCGTGAACAAGTCATCGTTTTTTATTCATTGTTTTGCCGATCGGCGCGGGCCCTCGCATCCCCCCTCCCCCCCTCCCCCTCGGAGTAGATCTTGGCTGTTTTTGGCGCCTGTTCCGAGCAGGTGGAGGTGGAGCCCCCCCCCTCATAGGACGCACTGCCGCAAGCAGTCGCACTGAGCAGAGGTCCGGAGCCAGCCCCCCCCCCTCCCCTCCTCTTCGCTCAATGTCGAAACGCCGAACACCAAAACGCCCCCACCCAGTGAAGGTGGTTGTCCCTCTCCAGGCGGGGGCCTCTGCGGGAGCGAGCGGGTGACCGCGCGTCGCGCGCTTCTTGCGTCGTGGCGGCGCCCGAGGCCCCCGGGCGGCTCGGCGCTGCCCCGTGCCCTCGGCGGAGGAGCCGGGGCTGCACTTCGGGCTCCGTGTGGGGGCTTGCCATCGCTCGGACCTGTGCATTTTTTTCGGCGAGAGCCATCGAGGATTAAGCTGGGCACGTCCCCTCGCAGGAGGAATGTTCCATATTTGGTTTGAAAACACCACGCCAGACCTGACATCTTGAAGCATCTGGCGAAACGTGCACGCACGAAGTGAAACAATGCACGGGAACTTAGGCATCCGAGCGGTTGCGATGGGGCACGAGGCGTGCGGCGGTGCTCCGAGGCGGATGCGGCCGTGGCAGCGGCAGCGGCAGCGGCGTCCCGGGCCATCGGCGGCAGCGGCGTTGGCAGCAGCAGCGGCAGGAGGTGAAGGCTGGGACGGGAGGCAGGAAGGAAGGAGGGACGGACGCAACGGACCGCCCTCAGCATCTTCATGAAAGCTTGAGGGCCCGCAGGGGACCCAATGCGTCCAGAGATGCCACCGCGTCGGCGGCGGCAGCGGCGGCGGCGGCGTCGTCGGTCGGCGTCGTCGGCGTCGTCGTCGCCGTCGTCGCCGCCGCCTTCCCAGGAGCTCGCATGGCTTCCGGGAGGAGAGCGCGGCCAGCTCGGACGTGCTCCTCCGGAGCGGCGAGGCGGGGGGCGGGCGTCCCTTCCTGGCTCCCGTGGCTACCCCCAGCAGCGGCAGGCTCGCCGAGAGGCGGCGGCGGCGGCGGCGGCGGCGGAGGCGGCGGAGGCGGCGGAGGCGGCGGCGGAGGAGGAGGAGGGGAGGAGGAGGAGGAGGAGGAGGAGAGGAGGAGGAGGAGGAGGAGGAGGAGGAGGGGGGAGGGGGAAGGGGGAGGAGGCGCGGAGGAGGAAGAGGAGGAGGAGGAGGAGGAGGAGAAGGAGGAGGAGGAGGAGGGAGGCGGGGAGGAGGAGGAGGAGGAGGAGGAGGAGTGAGGAGGAGGAGGAGAGGAGGAGGAGGAGGAGGAGGAGGAGGAGGAGGAGGAGGAGGAGGAGGAGGAGGAGGAGGAGGGTGAGGAGGAGGAGGAGGAGGAGGAGGAGTAGGAGGCGGAGGAGGAGGAGGAGTAGTAGGAGGAGGAGGAGGAGGATCAGGAGGAGGAGGAGGAGGAGGAGGAGGAGGAGGAGGAGATGGAGGAGGAGGAGGACCAGTGGAAATCCAAGAGTCATCAACAATGTTTGAATAACCCCCCCCGTCAAGCTCCCTCTTCATAAGCCCCTACAGCGCCTCGTTTCCACCGAGGGAACTGCCTCGTTGGAAGACAACCGTTTGAAGACCCTGAAGCATGCTAAAACATTGTTCTCATAATTCCAACGCATGGGATCAACTTGACTGTTGCGCCTTGACGATCGTGAATCGTGCCAGAATGCATTCCTGGGACTCCAACACCGCGAATCAAGGTAACTGTTGCACCCTCATTGAATCCATCCGAAAGGCAATCCTTGTTACGTTGATCATGGGAAACGCGTTAAGCTCTTGCAGATAAAAAAAAACGCATGTGCGCGGCGCTGAGGCGATAACCATTTTTTAATATGAAAAGGAACCGCCCTCAATCCATGACAGTCTTGCAATTTCTAAACGAATCTGCGCGCTGCTAGGGCGAGCGCCACATTTTGAAAACCACCCGCTCTCAATCCGTGAAGCTCTTGGGAGTTTTGAAAACGAATATTCGCGGCGCCGAGGCGAGAGCCAGCCACATTTTGAAAACCATCCGCCCTGAATCCATGATACCCTTGCCAATTTGTAAAACGAGTATTCGCGGCGCTCAGGCGAGATCCACATTTTGAGAACGACCCGCCCTCAATCCGTGCGAGGCGCCAAGGCGAGAGCCACATTTTGAAAACGACCCGCCCTCAATCTGTGAAGCTCTTGCAAATTTTGAAGACGAGAGTTAGCGGCGCTAGGGCGAGAGCCACATTTTGAACACTACTCGCCCTCCATCTGTGAATCTGTTGCCAATGTTTCAGCTTCAGAGTCGTAAATGTGGCCAATATTGGCGAAACGCCCAGCCCGCCCGAAAAACTGATCTCGGGGTGCGACAGGGAGACTCTCTGTCTAAGGAAGCGGAATGGATGAGGAGAAGGAGGAGGAGGAGAAGGAGGAGGTGGAGGAGGAATGAGAAGTTGGAGGAGGAGGAGGAGGAGGAGGAGGAGGAGGAGGAGGAGGAGGTGGAGGTGGAGGAGGAGGAAGAGGAGGAGGAGGAGGAGGAGGAGGAGGAGGGATGAGGAAGAGGAGGATGAGGAGGAGGAGGGGGGAGGGAGGCGGAGAGGCGGCGGAGGAGGAGGCGGGGAGGAGGAGGCGGAGGAGGAGGAGGTGGAGGAGGATGAGGAGAGGAGGAGGAGGGGAGGAGGCGGAGGAGGTGGAGGAGAAGGAGGAGGCGGAGGAGGAGGAGGAGGAGGGGGTGAGGAGGAGGAAGAGGAGGAAAAAGAGGAGGAGGAGGAGTTGGAAAAAATAGAGGAGGAGAGAAGGAGGAGGAGGAGGAGGAGGCGGAGGAGGAGGAGGAGCAGGAGGCGGAGGAGGAGGAGCAGGAGAGGAGGAGGAGGAGGAGGAGGAGGAGGAGGAGGAGGAGGAGCAGCAGGAGGAGGACGGAGGAGCGGGCCCGGCCCCGCGCGCCAGGCCCATCCAGCGCCCCCTCTCGACGGGGGCCTCGGGGCGCCGGGCCTCGAGCCGCCGCGGGTGAGAGGCGCCCACTCGGGCGCGGCAGCCTCGGGGGCGGGTGTGCCGCGGAGGGGGGGAGGAGGAGGAGAAGGGAGGAGGAGGGGGGGAGGAGGAGGAGGAGAAGGGAGGAGGAGGAGGAGGAGGAGGAGGAGGAGGAGGAGGAGGAGGAGGAGGAGGAGGAGAGGAGGAGCGGAGGAGGAAGGGGAGGAGGAGGAGGAGGAGGAGGGGGAGGAGGAGGGGGAGGAGGAGGGAGGACGGGGGCGCGGAGGCGCCCTCGTGCGCCGAAGGGCCGCGGCCCGCGTGCGGCGAGGGGGGCAACGGCCTCGAGTTGCCGAGGGGCGGGTGTGCCGCGGAGGAGGGAGAAAGGTCGATTACAGTTGTGAACGATGTTCAATTGAGAGGAAGCGTGTTGCCGAGCAATTTCCAGATGGTGGAACACATGTTTAAGGCATGGTTCAAGCATGTAGAAGCATGGTTTGCAAACCTGTTACAACAGTTTCGAACATCTTAAGTACCTGTTTAGTCAAACGATGGGATTGTTAGAGTGTCCATTGCCATGGCATCCACAATATTACAGTGGAGACCCATGTCATGAAACAGCTAGGGTGCCCTGGGTTTCTTAGGTTTGGATGGTTTTGCTATGGGAAGCGTGGCGCTCCCACACCAAAAATCAATGGACATCCTGGGGTCTCATGGTTGGGTTTATCGCGTAAGGTTTCTTGAGGCCGGGTTCCTATTTTAGGGGGTCGGCTACATAATTGATTTACCACAGAAGTACTTTGTTCGTCGAATCTACAAGCATATACGTGTACTGTTCGGCAGATCTACTACAGTTCCGCGTATTTGTTCCAGATCCTACATACGAAAACAATAACTCTTGGGTAACATAATTCTGTAGTCTCCTTCTCGGAAAGGGAGCATATTCACGCGTTTTGTAGTCCGCCATGACATGATCCCCTCTGTGGCGGATGACAAAAGGATTCCTTGTGTGGCGGATTGCAAGAGACATTCCTTTGTGACGGATCGCACATGGATCCCTTATGTGGCGTGGCTAGTGGCTCAACTATTGATCAAACAACCAGAGTTTTATTTTCTTTTTGTTTCCCCCATCCCTCTCTTGGTTGGGTACTCGTTTTGAATTGAGCACTGTCTGCCCCGTCCTCTTCTCCTTCTCCCCCTCCTCCCGCCGACTCCCTTCTCTCTCCTCCCCCTCCCCCCTCCCGCCTGCGTCCTGCCTCGCGCCCGCGGCTCGCTCGGGTGTCGTCATTTGTGCAGCGGAGGTGCCGTCGGCTCCTGGGAGGCCCAGCGGAGGTGCGCCTTTCGCAGATCACCATGAGACCTCAACGTCCCCTGGGGGGCTGCGATCTGCGAAGCTGTCGTCACTTTCGTGGGCTCCTGGGAGGCCCAGCGGAGGAGCGTCTTACGTAGGGCACCACGAGACCTCGCCGTCCCCTGGGAGGCTGCGATCTGCGAAACTGTCGCCACTCTTGTTGGCTCCGTGGAGGCCGAGCGGATGTGCGTCTTACGCAGATCACCACGAGACTTCGCCGTCCCCTGGGGGGCTGCGATCTGCGACACCGTCGCCAGTTTCGTGGGCTCCTGGGGGTCCCAGCGGAGGTGCGTCTTACGCAGATCACCGCGGGACCTCGCCGTCCCCTGGGAGGCTGCTATCTGCGAAACTGTCGATCTGCGAAACTGTCGCCATTTTCGTGGGCTCTTGGGAGGCCCAGCGGAGGTGCGTCTTACCCAGATCACCACGGGACCTCGCCGTCCCGTGGGGGGCTGCGATCTGCGAAATTGTCGCTATTTTCGTGGACTCCTGGGGGTCCCAGCGGAGGTGCGTCTTACGCAGATCACCGCGGGACCTCGCCGTCCCCTGGGAGGCTGCTATCTGCGAAACTGCCGATCTGCGAAACTGTCGCCATTTTCGTGGGCTCTTGGGAGGCCCAGCGGAGGTGCGTCTTACCCAGATCACCACGGGACCTCGCCGTTCCTTGGGGGGCTGCGATCTGCGAAATTGTCGCCACTTTCGTCGTGGGCTCCTGGGAGGCCCAGCGGAGGTGCGTCTTACGCAGATCACTGCGGGACCTCGCCGTCCCCTGGGAGGCTGCTATCTGCGAAACTGTCGATCTGCGAAACTGTCGCCATTTTCGTGGGCTCTTGGGAGGCCCAGCGGAGGTGCGTCTTACCCAGATCACCACGGGACCTCGCCCCCCCCTGGGGGGCTGTGATCTGCGAAATTGTCGCTATTTTCGTGGACTCCTGGGGGTCCCAGCGGAGGTGCGTCTTACGCAGATCACCGCGGGACCTCGCCGTCCCCTGGGAGGCTGCTATCTGCGAAACTGTCGATCTGCGAAACTGTCGCCATTTTCGTGGGCTCTTGGGAGGCCCAACGGAGGTGCGTCTTACCCAGATCACCACGGGACCTCGCCGTTCCTTGGGGGGCTGCGATCTGCGAAATTGTCGCCATTTTCGTCGTGGGCTCCTGGGAGGCCCAGCGGAGGTGCGTCTTACGCAGATCACCGCGGGACCTCGCCGTCCCTTGGGGGGCTGCGATCTGCCAAACTGTCGCCACTTTTGTGGGCTCCGCGGAGGTGCGTCTTACGCAGATCACCATGAGACCTCGCCGTCCCCTGGGAGGCCGCTATCTGCGAAACTGTCGCCACTTTCTTGGGCTCCTTGGTTCCAGTGGAAGTGCGTCTTACGCAGATCACCACGAGACCCCATGGGGGGGCTGCGATCTGCGAAACTGTTGCCAGTTTCGTGAGCTCGTGTGAGGCCCGGCGGAGGTGCGTCTTACGCAGATCACCAGGAGACCTCGCCGTCCCGGGGGGGGGGGGCTGCGATCTGCGAAACTATCGCCACTCTCGTGGGCTCATGGGAGCCCCAGCGGAGGTGCGTCTTACGCAGATCACCACGGGACTTCGCCGTCCCCTGGGGGCTCTGCGATGTGCGAAGCTGTCGCCAGTTTCGTGGACTCCTGGGAGGCCCAGCGGAGGTGCGTCTTACGCAGATCACCGCGGGACCTCGCCGTCCCCTGGGGGGCTGCGATCTGCGAAACCGTCGCCAGTTTCGTGGGCTCCTGGGGGGCCCAGCGGATGTGCGTCTTACGCAGATCACCACGAGACTTCGCCGTCCCCTGGGGGGCTGCGATGTGCGAAGCCGTCGCCACTTTCGTGGGTTCCTGGGAGGCCCAGCGGAGGTGCGTCTTACGCAGATCACCGCAAGGCCTCGCCGTCCCCTTTGGGGCTGCGATCTGCGAAACTGCCGCCACTTTCGTGGGCTCTTGGGAGGCCCAGCGGATGTGCGTCTTACACAGATCACCACGGGACCTCGCCGTCCCGTGGGGGGCTGCGATCTGAGAAACGATCGCCTCTTTCGTGGGCTCTTGGGATGCCCAGCGGAGGTGCGCCTTACGCAGATCACCGCGGGACCTCGCCGTCCCTTGGGGGGCCGCGATCTTCGAAACTGAAGCCAGTTTCGTGGGCTCCTGGGAGGCCCAGCGAAGGTGCGTCTTACGCAGATCACCATGGGATCTCGCCGTCCCCTGGCGGGCTGTGATCTGCGGACCTTAGGGTCTTAAGGCCTACGGGCCTTCGGGTCTGAGTGCCTTGGGGTCTTTGGGTCCTCGGGCCCCAGGGTGAGCGCATTCGTAAGGTCCCAGGGCCTTCGGGCTTGCGGGTCGTAGGGCGTTCGGGTTGTTAGGGCTTGTTGTCTCAGGGGGTTAATCATTAGAACCTTCGGGCGTTCGGATTATTCGGGTCTTATGGCGTAGGGTCTTAAGGTCATACGACCCTGGGGTCTGTCGGGTCTTACCGCATTGCGGTATCAAGGGATTCGGCTCTTAATGTGATTAGGCCTTGAGGTTTCAGTACCCTAGTGCTATTGCCCCATGTCCTCGTATCTGGGGGTCTTAAGGCCTGAAGGCAGTATCTGCTTAGGGTCAGGGCCCCGAGGCCGATGGTCTTCGATTCGCATGATCGTAGGGCCCTCGGGTCCTATGGTCGTCGGGTATCAGGGTGTAAGGCTTTCGGCCTTAGTGTTTTAGGGTGTTAGTTTCCAAGGGCCCAAGGAGCAGGGGGTCGTAGGGTCTAAGGTCATTCCATTATTCATTGGCTGACGCCACACCGCCGATCCCTTGGGGCGGCAGTAAGAGTGGAGTTTGCGGAACGCGCGCGATTTCTGGGGAATCTTGGGGTTTCAGCTTCTTGGGATTTCGTCGGGGGCGGTTGGCGGATCGCGGCTGTGCTCTTGGGCTTCTCCGGGCTCTCCTGGCAGCATTTTTGAAGCCTCTCAGGGGTCTCGTGGGGGCCTCTTGGGGGCCTCTTGGCGCCTCTGGTTTTATCGGGGCCGCTTTGGAGGCTTCTGGGGCCGTCTTGGGGCACTCTTGGGCCGTCTTGGAGCCCTCTGGCCATTGTGGGCCTCGTGGAAGCCCCAGGGGCGAATGCGCTAAGCATATACGTTTTCCCCAGGGAATGAGACGACTTTTGCTTCTGGCGGGCTTCTTGGGACGTCTCTTGGTGGCTTCTTGGTGCGTCTTGGGGGCCTCTGGGACTGTCTGGAGACAATCTTGGGCGTCTTAGAGCGATCTTTCGGCGACTCGCAGCTCTCTTGGACCGTCCGGGGGGCCTTTTGGGGCCCTCTTGGCCCGTTTTGGGGCCCCCTGGCCCCCTGAGGCTCCAAGCGTGCGGCCGGCACTTTTGACCCCTCCCCCCCCCTCCCCCCCCTCCCCCCTCCAAACCGGCCGGACCGGGCTCCCGGGGGAGAGGTTAGGGGAGGGAGTAGCATCTCACACGCCGTGACCTCAAGGGGTCGGCGGATTTGGCTCCAAGATTTTTAGGCCCTAGGTTCTTAGCGTCGTCGGCTCTTCAGGCCAGATGTGGCTGAAGGCCTGGTGTGGGGCCTCACTGTGCTATGGTCCCAGGGCCTTCGGGCCTCAGGGTCCCAGGGTCCCATGGTCCTGGAGCCTGGGGGCAGTTCGGGTGTAGGTGATTCGTGTCCCTCGGGTAGCAGTGTCTCAGTGTC